ATATGTGTGTGTGTGTGTGTGTTTTAAAACTGTAACTGAGTTGCAAAAATTAAGTGTACCAGTGCCATTAATTTGTGGTTTTAGGTGTTGAAAGGACAGAATTTTTATATTCTATTACATATAAAGTTTAAAACTTTTTTTTTTTTTTTTTTTTTTTTTTCCTGCAAAACTGGACAGGGCCCTGAGAGGGATCTGTGTTCTCAGACAAGCCATAGACAAAATGCAAATGAATACAAATCAACTGACCTCAATTCATGCAGATCTTTGTCAGGTAAGAATGCAGTCACGGCATGGCTTTACTAGTCTTCTATGTAAAAGACACACAAGCGGTTGAATTCATTCAGAGTGTGTTGTGTGGTTTTTTTTTTGTTTTTTTTTTTTTAGGCCTGAAGATTAATAATAAACAGTAATAAACACAAAAGCAAACATGTATTACATTGCAGTTTACCATATCTTAGATGTGATGGCTGTATTACTTTTTTTTTTTTTTTTTCTTCATGCTTTGCTTTCCTTTCTCACCTGATATCTGGCCGGGTCTGGGGGGTGTGTAAAACCGAAGCTCATCCACCTGGTTTTTGTGCTCACAGGCCACTCGTGTGAATGAGCCATTAATCTCACAATGGATGGACAGAAATAGAAATCATTTAGTAGAGTAAAACAGCTCCTTTATATGAATATACTGTATGTTTATCTGTATTCCTGGAGTTCAGCTTTAGGTAAACTATATTATTATTATTATACAGGATTATATATTATTATTATTATTATTATACAGGATTTATATATTATTATTATTATACAGGATTTATATATTATTATTATTATTATTATACAGGATTTATATATTATTATTATTATTATTATACAGGATTTATATATTATTATTATACAGGATTTATATATTATTATTATTATTATTATACAGGATTTATATATTATTATTATACAGGATTTATATCTTTATTATACAGGATTTATGGCGCCAACAGTTTGCTCAGCGCTTTACAATATACGGGAGGCAATACAGCAATAATACAGTTCAATACAAGAGGGATAGGAGGGCCCTGATCCTGGGAGCTTACAATCTAGGAGGGAGACTATAGTTATTTTCATTAAAGTGATTGCAAAACTTTATTTTTTTTTTCTCAATAAAATAGCAAACATGTACTTCCCCGCTCTGTGTAATGGTTTTTCCACAGAGCAGCCCTGGTCCTCCTCTTCTCAGGTCCCCCACCAGTGCTCCTGGTTCCTCCCCCCGCCGAGTGTCCATCATAGAAAGCTGCTTCCTATGGCGGCACTCATGCAGGCTTGCTCCTGACCATACTGTTTGTGTGCCTATTCAGACTCAGCCTGTTACAGCCTGGCTCTCTGCTTACAGGTTTTGACTGACAGCAGTAGGAGCCGGTGGCTCCCACTGTAGTCATCCAAGCCTGCAAGAGCCAGAAGAGGGGAGAAGAGCTGCTGCAAACGAGCACAGTGCGAGACCAAGATCAGACTCAGGTGAGTATTTAGAGGGGCTGTAGGTGGTGTTTTTTTTTTTCCTTAATGTAGAGAATGCAATAAATACAAATACCTTTTACCTTTACAACCATGTGCACTATACCCCAGCATTGCAAAATAATGTGTAATAATGTGGTATAGCTAAATAACTGCATTGTATCTGAGAAGGCAATCTTGCAACTGCAGTCTGAAGCTCCTTTAAAGAGGACGTGACGTATGAGTTGCATGGATTGATGACGCATGCTAAAGCCAGGATTAAGGTTTTACACTACTACCCTGCACCCCTAAACTAAACAAGTATGTAACCTTTGTGGCGGGAGTCCCTGGGGACCGCCAATGCCAAGGGTAGAATTTTTTTTTTTTTTTCCTGTTCAAAGTGGCCCTTGCGATTCAGGCAAGGTCTATGTACTCATTGCGGCCCCTCCCTTCCTTAAACATTACATATTGGAACCTAGGGGATAGATAACATATTCTTTCCCTGACTTCCATAGTGCTGAACTCTCATGAGAAGACGCTGTGGCACAATGCAAAATCCTCTTCTCATGAGATTTGCGCTACTCTGCGTTTTTCCAATATCTGGCAGTTAGCATTTTTAGAAAGGGGGAGGGGCACCTTAAAACACCCTTGTCTGCTTTAAAAACACCTAGCAGGTTTATACGGGGACAACTGAGGAATCTCTTAACGGGATGAGAAAAAAAAAAGCTAAGGCTCCGTTTTTCACAGTAATATGCAGAGCTTTAGTGTTTGTTGCATTTTTTTTTTTTCTTTTTTTTTTCTTCCAGAGTTCCACTTTATGCTCTTCACGTAGTTGCCTGTTTATCGAATTGATTTGGCGTGAAATCATCAGAGCATGTTGTATGTAATGCTAAAGTCTAATTCTGCTTTCCTTCTCATCCTTACAGCTCTGTTTGTTAGCAAAATGCTTTAAGCCAGCTCTTGCTTATTTAGACGTAGATATGATGGACATCTGTAAAGAAAACGGTGCTTACGATGCCAGACCCTTCCTGTGCTACTACTACTATGGAGGCATGATCTACACAGGGCTAAAGAACTTTGAGAGGGCGCTTTATTTTTACGAACAGGTAGGTGAAATCTTCTATTTGATGTAAAGCGAATGACTGATAGATTTACTAAACCTGGTTGACTCAGAATCTTGGGCACCTGTGCATGGTAGCCAATCAGCTTCTAACCTCAGCATGTTCAGTTAAGCTTCAGCAATAAAACCTGGAAGCTGATTGGCTTTTATGCAGAAGTGGACAAGATTCTGAGTCAACCAGGTTTAGTAAATAAACCCCATGGTGTCAGTGATGTAAAAAAAAAGGTTAACTAAGAAAATTATTTGATGCAAAATTCTAAAAGGAGCTGAGCAGTGGAAGGTCTGCCAGAAACAAGGCAAGTCGATGGTAAAGACCAGTCACCAGTGGGCTCCCTGATGGTGGTCATCTTACAGGCCACATTTTTATAGTATCTGGATTTAAAACTAGGCTGCCCATAACTAGATACATTTTTGACTAGAAATTGACAAGCCGTCAAAAGCTTTTTCTCCTGAAGATCCTACCAGTAACAAGCCTTCTACAGTACAGTGACAACACTCGCTGTACTGTATCTGTAGTCGAGCAGCAGAGTTGCCACTCAAAGACGAGGCTAAAAAAAAAACATAACCCTTCTGATCTCCATCAAAAGGGTGGTTGTTCTGTAGTCCATGGAGAAATGTAAGAACAATGTAACTGACAGTGCAGCACAGGCAGAGAGCTAAAAGAGCTAGATCACAAAATTTCTGGCAGATCAACCGTTTTTTTTTTTTTTTTTGTTTTTTGTTTTTTTTTTGCAATTATTTAAACAGATATAACAACTTTTTTAATTGGTATATTTAAAGTGTTACTAAACCCAGGACCCTGCCTTCACTATATCTGGTCTTTCTGGACTCTGCATTCACTATATCCGCTCTCCCCGGACCCTGCATTCACTATATCCGCTCTCCCCGGACCCTGCATTCACTAGATCTGCTCTCCCCGGACCCTGCATTCACTAGATCTGCTCTCCCCGGACCCTGCATTCACTAGATCTGCTCTCCCCGGACCCTGCATTCACTAGATCTGCTCTCCCCGGACCCTGCATTCACTAGATCCGCTCTCCCCGGACCCTGCATTCACTAGATCCGCTCTCCCCGGACCCTGCATTCACTAGATCCGCTCTCCCCGGACCCTGCATTCACTAGATCCGCTCTCCCGGACCCTGCATTCACTAGATCCGCTCTCCCCGGACCCTGCATTCACTAGATCCGCTCTCCCCGGACCCTGCATTCACTAGATCCGCTCTCCCCGGACCCTGCATTCACTAGATCCGCTCTCCCCGGACCCTGCATTCACTAGATCCGCTCTCCCCGGACCCTGCATTCACTAGATCCGCTCTCCCCGGACCCTGCATTCACTAGATCCGCTCTCCCCGGACCCTGCATTCACTAGATCCGCTCTCCCCGGACCCTGCATTCACTAGATCCGCTCTCCCCGGACCCTGCATTCACTAGATCCGCTCTCCCCGGACCCTGCATTCACTAGATCCGCTCTCCCCGGACCCTGCATTCACTAGATCCGCTCTCCCCGGACCCTGCATTCACTAGATCTGCTCTCCCCGGACCCCCTGCATTCACTAGATCTGCTCTCCCCGGACCCCCTGCATTCACTAGATCTGCTCTCCCCGGACCCCCTGCATTCACTAGATCTGCTCTCCCCGGACCCCTGCATTCACTAGATCTGCTCTCCCCGGACCCCCTGCATTCACTAGATCCTGCTCTCCCGGACCCCCCGGACCCCCCGCATTCACTAGATCCGCTCTCCCCGGACCCCCTGCATTCACTAGATCCGCTCTCCCCGGACCCCCTGCATTCACTAGATCCGCTCTCCCCGGACCCCCTGCATTCACTAGATCCGCTCTCCCGGACCCCCTGCATTCACTAGATCCGCTCTCCCCGGACCCCCTGCATTCACTAGATCCGCTCCTCCCCCGGACCCCCTGCATTCACTAGATCCGCTCTCCCCGGACCCCCTGCATTCACTAGATCCGCTCTCCCCGGACCCCCTGCATTCACTAGATCCGCTCTCCCCGGACCCCCTGCATTCACTAGATCCGCTCTCGGACCCCCGGACCCCCTGCATTCACTAGATCCGCTCTCCCCGGACCCCCTGCATTCACTAGATCCGCTCTCCCCGGACCCCCTGCATTCACTAGATCCGCTCTCCCCCGGACCCCCTGCATTCACTAGATCCGCTCTCCCCGGACCCCCTGCATTCACTAGATCCGCTCTCCCGGGACCCCCTGCATTCACTAGATCCGCTCTCCCCGGACCCCCTGCATTCACTAGATCCGCTCTCCCCGGACCCCCTGCATTCACTAGATCCGCTCTCCCCGGACCCCCTGCATTCACTAGATCCGCTCTCCCCGGACCCCCTGCATTCACTAGATCCGCTCTCCCCGGACCCCCTGCATTCACTAGATCCGCTCTCCCCGGACCCCCTGCATTCACTAGATCCGCTCTCCCCGGACCCCCTGCATTCACTAGATCCGCTCTCCCCGGACCCCCTGCATTCACTAGATCCGCTCTCCCCGGACCCCCTGCTGCATTCACTAGATCCGCTCTCCCCGGACCCCCTGCATTCACTAGATCCGCTCTCCCCGGACCCCCTGCATTCACTAGATCCGCTCTCCCCGGACCCCCCTGCCCTGCATTCACTAGATCCGCTCTCCCCCGGACCCCCCTGCATTCACTAGATCCGCTCTCCCCGGGGGGTCCCCCTGCGGACCCCCTGCATTCACTAGATCCGCTCTCCCCGGACCCCCTGCATTCACTAGATCCGCTCTCCCCGGACCCCCTGCATTCACTACTAGATCCGCTCTCCCCGGACCCCCTGCATTCACTAGATCCGCTCTCCCCGGACCCCCTGCATTCACTAGATCCGCTCTCTCCCCGGACCCCCTGCATTCACTAGATCCGCTCTCCCCGGATCCGCCCCCCCTGCATTCACTAGATCCGCTCTCCCCGGACCCCCTGCATTCACTAGATCCGCTCTCCCCGGACCCCCTGCATTCACTAGATCCGCTCTCCCCGGACCCCCTGCATTCACTAGATCCGCTCTCCCCGGACCCCCTGCATTCACTAGATCCGCTCTCCCCGGACCCCCTGCATTCACTAGATCCGCTCTCCCCGGACCCCCTGCATTCACTAGATCCGCTCTCCCCGGACCCCCTGCATTCACTAGATCCGCTCTCTCCCCGGACCCCCTGCATTCACTAGATCCGCTCTCCCCGGACCCCCTGCATTCACTAGATCCGCTCTCCCCGGACCCCCTGCATTCACTAGATCCGCTCTCCCCGGACCCCCTGCATTCACTAGATCCGCTCTCCCCGGACCCCCTGCATTCACTAGATCCGCTCTCCCCGGACCCCCTGCATTCACTAGATCCGCTCTCCCCGGACCCCCTGCATTCACTAGATCCGCTCTCCCCGGACCCCCTGCATTCACTAGATCCGCTCTCCCCGGGACCCCCTGCATTCACTAGATCCGCTCTCCCCGGACCCCCTGCATTCACTAGATCTGGTCTCCCACAGTACACACAACATGGTAATCCAATTATTTTAGTAAGTATAAACTTGCTAAATACCTTTTCTTGTCCGCAGTATATCGCAGTCTCGCGATTTCCATCAGTGTCCAGCCAAGCACTGGTTAATCTTATAGGAGTTTTCATTCTGCTTGGAATGTCCTATGAGGCTGCATAACCCCTTACTCTCTGGACAGTGCTGATTGGTCCTGTACTGATCAGTCCCTCCCAAAGAAAAAGAAAAAAACTCTAGCAATACACACTACACTGGGCTTGTGCAGAGTGACTCCTAGAGCTCTTTGCTATCAGCAGATGGATTGGGAACAGTGGAAGGGGAGGATCAGGGAAGATGGGATCAAACAGCCTTTTTACACAATGCGGAGGATTAACCCCTTTGGTTCCACAGTGAGTATAACAAGCATGCTTTGCTGCATATAGAGATTGCAGGTTTGTGATTTGTGGGTTTAGTAACACTTTAAGTAAAATTATAGGCAAAACATTTTTCATTTTTGGATAAGAGTAAGGGAGGGTCATAACCCAGATTCTATTTTTTTTTTTTTTTTTTTGTTTTTGCCATCTGTGTCCCATTTCGGAGATTTCCCCTCACTTTGAGGCCTGTAACCAAACAGGAATTGAGAGTGAATCCCTGCAAATTAAGGGAATATCTTAAAAATAGTGTAAAAAAGCCCCTGCGTTTAGATTGCCCTAACTGATATAAAGCTGCTAGCACCTACTGTGTACCAATGAATACCACAAAACAAAAATATAATATAAATGGTGCAGCGCTAATATTACACACAGCCAGCACTAAATAAACTCAGAAAATGCATGCAAATAAAATAATGACAACATCATAGGTGAATAAAACACCCTTAATAATAATATAGCATATAATATATGATAACATATCAATCACTGGTGCCAAGGTGACCCGCACTTAATTCGTGACTAAGGGGTGATGAATCAGTCCACTTTGTGCACATAGGTGAAAAACTCTTCATACACGTGAATGTGTCATACGTGCCAAAAAAAATCCCAAAATGGTCTGAGTGCCCCCTCACCTCCTTGCAATGACCGCAAGGGCCAACCAGCGTTATAATAGTATTCAGACGATCTCCTGCAGATCAATAAGACTGAAATGACCATAGCTTTAGCCAGACCTCTTCCTGCACTCCACCGCTCTGGCGACACCTCTAGGGCCCACTCAGAGACACAAACGAAACGGGCTCCATAGTGTAATATTGTCGTATTTATGAAATAAAATTAAAAATACCCACTCACATGTTAGCAGGTAACAGCAAACATCTTCAGTTGTCCTCATGACATGTGGCTTCATGGAGTCCCAATATGGCGCGGGCGCCGGAAATGACGTCACCGCGTTCCGGAAATGACGATGGACGTACCTCAGGTCTCTTTCAATAATAATGTTTAAACTGGACACAGACATCAATAATAACTGACAGGAGTTCTAATCCTTCTCACCCTTATCCCAAACTAACAAAAAAAAGCCTTTGGTTATACTTTATACCAGTGGTCTCCAAACTGTGGCCCGGGGGCCAGATGTGGGCCCTTTTGCTTTTTATCAGGCTCTTGGGGCACTATTTTATCCACTAATATTAACAAATGGGCATCATTTCCCTCCAGTGATGGGGCACAATTCCTCCCAATAACACCAACGATGGGGCAACCAAAAGGGAGTGAGTAAAGCTCTCCTACGCAGCTATGTCATTAATGTCGCCCACAATTTCCCAGCCACTCTTCCTCCAGCCCTGTAACAAGTTCTGCACCCTTCATGCAGATTTGGGGATGGAGGAAATCGCTGCAAGAGCCATTCAAGCAGGATAAAGGTTGAACTAAAAACCTTTAAGACTCGCCCATAATACACCACTGATAATAATTTGAAGACTTTTATCTGGTTTTTTTCCCATTTCTGTTTGGAATCTGATGATTGTGAGTCTGTGAAGGGAAGATTAGTTTCTGTTTTCTGGTTCAAACTTCTCGCTTTCCTGCATGTTCTGGTGTCCCTTTTATGAGGTTCTCAATCCTGGGGGGATGGGAAAGATTGGTCGATCATGTGAACGTTGATTGGCTGTCACAACAGTCATGAGGGTGGGAGCCGGGCCCCTCATTAGTGGGGACTAAGAGCTGTCTTCCACAGACCGTCTCTGTGCTCTCTCAGCACACAAATATCAGCCGCCCATCAACACGTTTGTATGGTGTGTGATCATTAAAGCTCACCCTTTTTGCTGCCACTCATGTGTTAGGCTACCATATGGGGGTTAATCAGTGGGAGATAGAATCTGGTTGCTATAGGTAGCCTGAACCAATCATGTGCTCATATAAATCATTATTTTATAACTTGATTTATTCTGTTCTCTCATCTCCAGGCAATTACAACGCCGGCCATGGCAGTCAGTCACATCATGTTGGAATCTTATAAAAAGTATATCCTAGTTTCTTTGATCCTTCTAGGAAAAGTTCAGCAGCTGCCTAAATATACCTCACAGATCGTCGGTAGATTCATTAAGGTGAGCTGTTACAGGTGGCTTTGATTTACAACTGTCCGGGTTCAGGTAGTAGTGATGACTTGCAAACTGCTCAAAGCTTTAGTAACCAATTAGATTTCAGTATTCCGAGGCCACATCAGTTGAGGATGAATGAAGGTGCCTTGGGTGGCAGCACACTGCTTCTTAAGTGCAGCCTCTTTAGAGAAACTTGCACCTCCAATTGAAAATAATTCTCTATTTCCTTCCTACCTTAGGTGTTTTACAATGTATAATTATATTTGCAAGCCCAGTGGATCCAGTGTTGTCACCTTCTCTCACACTGCTCTAGACAAGTCCTGTTCTGCACTGCCATGGGGAGCCAGTAGTCTCTTCCTGGTCCTTGCAGCTGGCTGCCTGATGACGTGCTGTGCGATCTGGTGGCACGTCATTTGTTTTACATGTTACCCTCCTGCAAGATATCACAGATTTTTGTGGGTGGTGGAAAACCAATTCCTCCTGGGATGTGCGACCTTGGTATCCCAGGAATTAAGTTGGAGGGCAATGTATACATCACCTTCTCCTAAGCGAGCATTGAGGAAGTGATTGAACCCTAGTATAGGAGGTGGGGGGAAAGTAATGTCAGGGGGGCTTGACGCAAGCGTGGAATATTTAGGTACAGTCACTTTTAAAGCAATACTAAACTAAAAATGTGTTTTTACCTTTAATGCACTGCTTGCATTAAAATAAAATGTGTTTTTTTTTTTTTTTTTTTTAGTCTCCCTGTTCTCCTTCCCTGTGTGAACTGGAAGAATGGGGAGAAGAGATCAGCGCTGTGCACAGCTGCGTTTCTTCTCCCCTCGCTTCCTCTTCACACAGGGACACAAACCGCAGCAACAGCCATTGGCTCCTGCTGCTTTCTATCAAATGTAGTAAATAGGAAGTCGGGAGCGGGGTTAAGTCCCGCTATGTATGTCTTTTGAACGCGGCTTCATAGACACACAGGTCAGGAGCATGCACGCACAACGGATGTCCCCATAGCAAACCGCTTGCTATGGAGGACAAACAAAGAAGGAGAGTAGCTGCATAGATGATTCCATTCATACCAAAAAGGGGTTTGTGAAAAGAAATTCACAGGAAAGCGGCTACATTATGAACAGAATGCGATACTCAGAAAAATTTCCAAAAATTATGCTTTATTTCACATTAATGATTGACATATGGGCAATCGCCCTGGTTTACCATCACCCCAGTATGAGACAATACACACAGACCTAAAACCATTAAAATCACACCAAGACCGGTCTAGGTATATGTGCTGCAAAGGCTATGACCACCATAGTCTAAAGCACTTGCAGCACTGGCACATAGGTAACACTCCCTAGAGGAGGTATATTCAAAAAAATTATACCATAGGTATGCAATATCACATGCTATATATGTAAGCATATATCATTACCATATAGGTTACACCCCATTAAAGGAGATTTTCCAAAAATTATACCATAGGTATGTCATATCACATGCACGCAAAAAAGACACACAGTTACCATTTGGAGAGAGGCATAGCCCTAAGCCTATATAAGGCAATTGGGTAAAATATAATATGAAAAAGGGGGGGGGGGGAATAACCCCAATGATGTAATACTGGATAGATGCAGTACAACCCTATACAGGCACACGTGGTTGGGGCCCATTAATCTGTAATATACGTGAATAGTTGCAAGGATTCTTATGACTGAAAGAGTCCCTGTTGTCTTGATGGAGAGATGGATGCAAATAGCAGAGGCCTGCTTTAAATGGTTTCTTCACCACAACATGTGGACTGCAAACCACTTTAATATTTGAAACAAGATAAGGCCCAGTAGATCTTCCGCCTGTTGCAATATATGTAGTATGCCTTGTTTCTATATAGAGCACCATAATGTCCCCATCCTGTAATAAGACAAACGATATAAGGATAGTCACTGTAAGAGTTTTCACTCTATTGTGTATATATATATAATATAATATAGATCTCAAGGAGCCTTTTTCAAATGTCCTGTAACAGTCCACTCACCACCTGTGCAATGGGTAGTAGAAAAAAGAAGAAAGATCCTTCATAGGTACTGCTGTGTTGATCCAGGGAACTACCGCTTACATCAGCCGACATTTCGCGGATTCCATTCATCCCTGTGCAGACTGTCACTTCTGTGCGGGTGTACGGCCCTGAACACAGTGTGTTTTCGGGGTTGTGCACTTGAGCAGATGTCACATTAGGAGCAGTGCCTGTGTCTGTGCCATCATCTTGTCACAACTGACTTGAATGGGACTGCCTGCATGAAGATACACCGTGAACACCTGTGCATCCCCGTGCAGGTAAACATGGCCTTTACATGGATGTATGGTATAGTACGCCCTGTGTGAACAAACCTTAATCTTCAAACCAATGTACTTACTTATGGGTACCACTTATGAACATCCAGTCTTTAGGGTACTATTCGGCCTCCCTAAAGGCATGGTAGAAGTTCTGACAGGGTTACTGGTTAAAGAGACTTGTAAATCATAAACCTTTTTATTGTCAGTAAAATTATTTCAAAAACTCCAAAAGTATTCTTCCAAATTCTGATCCATAATCCCCGTGTGCCTCCAAAAATGCTGTATACCTACAAAGAATACAGATAAAACTTGATAGTGTATTATCCTCAGTATAACAGCATAACACACTATCCAGTTTTATTTTTATTCTTTGGAGGTATACGGCATTTTTGGAGGCACACGGGGATTATGGATCAGAATTTGAAAGAATAATTTTGGAGTTTTTGAAATAATTTCGCTGACACTAAAAAGGTTTGATTTACAATTTTGGGCTTTCAAGGGTGAAGTAGGACTTTTGAGTGTCCATATATAGCGTGTTTATTGTATCAGTTTGCTATTTTTGGATACCGATTTTGTATCACATATGGTTAAAGAGAGTTGCCAAAAGCAGTTGCTTTGCAGCTTTTGTATTCCTTTTGCAGTTTGATTTGACCTGAGTATAGTGTAGGAAACTATCGAATGAACAAAGAAAATCCCTTAAATTGCAGTGCTTAATGGGCCGAGGGCCTTGATGAGGAGGGAGTGGGGCTGGAATGTGCCCCAAAAACACAGCTTTGATAGTCTTTAAGCTATGTTTCTGTGTTTTTCATTGACATTTGTTCTGTTTTTTTTTTTTTTTTTTTTTTTTTCTGCAGCCTCTTAGTAATGCCTACCATGAGTTAGCACAGGTCTATTCAACCAACAACCCGTCAGAGCTGCGGAACCTGGTGAACAAACACAGCGAGACCTTTACCAGAGACAATAACATGGGGCTGGTGAAACAATGTCTGTCCTCCCTGTACAAAAAGAATATTCAAAGACTTACCAAAGTAAGAGACCTTACACCCCGTCCCGTAGACTTCTGACTTTGTTAGTGAGGCTCAGAGAGCACCCAAGTCTGTAGCCTTTCTAACCTAGAGCATGAGGCTCCTAGAACACATGGAGGAAATGTGTCTGCTAAATTTTTTTTTTTCTTTTATTTTCATATCTAGGTTGGTTTCTCAGTGTTTTCAGTTAATAGTTTGTTAAAATGACTCAGAGCAAAGTGCAAAGATAGCAGAATCATGGTACACATATTCATGGTATGCATATCAGTAATATAAAAGGTAGTTTTCTTAACGGTTCATTGTAAAATAGGCCGGGTGAGACCGCTTTTATCCTGGGAATACACCATATGACATCCTCACATTCTTGCCAGCACAGCGATCAGTGGTGAGCTGTGCCCCTCGGACACAGTGCAAGGTAAAGAGCCAATGACGGTGGCTCTTTACCATGTGACCAGCTGTGTCCAGTCACAGCTGATCACATGTAAACAAATGCTGGTTATCGGCATTTCCTTCTCTTCAGCGCTGTTGCAGCATGAGGAAAGGAAAACTGGTGACCGGCTTTCCTGTGACGAGACATTTACACTCATCAGCGCACATCAGTGAAGAGGAAAAATTACTTATTTGCAACATTTTATAACAAATGAAGAAAGGATTTTTTTTCAGAATTTTTCTGTCTCATTTAGCAAAAGATCTAAATCCCAGTGGTGATTAAATACCACCAAAGAAAAGCCCTTTCTGTCTTTTAAAAAAAAAAATATCATATGGGTGCAGTGTTGCATGACCACGCAATTGTCATTCAGTGTGATATCCCTGAAAGCTGAAAATTGGACTGGAGAGGAAGGGGGTGAAAGTGCCTGATATTGAAGTGGTTAAAGATTATTCAAGTGTAGGAATACAATCCTTGGTGTTATGCCTCACTCTGTTCTCTGGGAGTTGTTGATAATTAGAGATGAGCGAATTTCTCAAAAATTCGATTCGGCTGATTCGGCGAATTCCAGTGTGAAATTCGATTCGATGCGAATTTCTTCGCTACGAAGATGACTTATAAAAAGGGTTTCTAGGCTTCAGAGAGCCTTTAAATTAGTGCAGAACACTGTACCTTTAATTTAAATGCCCTTGGAGATGAGGAAGGAGAAGGAGAAGGATGAGAAGGAGAAGGATGAGAAGAAGGATGAGAAGGAGAAGGATGAGAAGGAGAAGGATGAGAAGGAGAAGGATGAGAAGAAGGAGAAGGATGAGAAGAAGGAGAAGGATGAGAGAAGAAGGAGAAGGATGAGAAGAAGGAGAAGGATGAGAAGAAGGAGAAGGATGAGAAGAAGGAGAAGGATGAGAAGAAGGAAGAAGGATGAGAAGAAGGAGAAGGATGAGAAGAAGAAGGAGGATGAGAAGGAGGAGGATGAGAAGGAGGAGGATGATGAGAAGAAGGAGGAGGATGAGAAGAAGGAGGAGGATGAGAAGGAGGAGGATGAGAAGAAGGAGGAGGATGAGAAGAAGGAGGAGGATGAGAAGGAGGAGGAGGATGAGAAGAAGGAGGAGGATGAGAAGAAGGAGGAGGATGAGAAGGAGGAGGAGGATGAGAAGGAGGAGGAGGATGAGAAGGAGGAGGAGGATGAGAAGGAGGAGGAGGATGAGAAGGAGGAGGAGAAGGAGAAGGAGGAGGATGAGAAGGGAGAAGGAGGAGGATGAGAAGGAGAAGGAGGAGGATGAGAAGGAGAAGGAGAAGGAGGAGGATGAGAAGGAGAAGGATGAGAAGGAGAAGGATGAGAAGGACAGTTCTGTGACAGTTTCTCTCTATTTATGACAGTTCTGGGACATTCACTCCATACAGCTGTTTCAAACCGCTGTATGGAGGGAATGTCATGGAACTGTCAGAAATAGACTATTAATGACAGTTCTGGGACTGTCCTTCCATGCAGCGGTTGAAACATTGTATGTATTTGTTTCCATAAATGGATCCATTTATGGAAACAAATAGATACAATGTTTCAACCGCTGTATGGAAGGACAGTCCCAGAACTGTCATTAATAGTCTATTTCTGACAGTTCTATGACATTCCCTCCATACAGCGGTTGAAACAGCTGTATGGAGTAAATGTCCCAGAACTGTCAGAAATAGACTATTTACGACAGTTCTGGGACATTCCCTCCATACAGCGGTTTCCGGCAAAAAGTGTATGTGCAGAGTTCCTCTATTCTGCAGATACACTTAGAGGAGCTCTGCAGATACACTTAGAGGAGCTCTGCACATACACTTTTTGCCGGCTTGGAATTATTCTTCTTTTCATCCTACTTCTTCTTCTTCTTCATCCTCATCCTCATCCTCTTCTTCTGAGGATGAAGATGAAGAAGAAGAAGAAGTAGGATGAAAAGAAGAATAATTCCAAGCCGGCAAAAAGTGTATGTGCAGAGTTCCTCTATTTCTGACAGTTCTCTCACAGCTTCTTCACATGTACAGTGGTTGAAACATCTGTATCCTAAATGTAAACTAATAGATACAATGTTTCAACTGCTAAACATGTGTTCCTTCTGTCAGAGAACTGTCAGAAATAGCGGAGCTCACTGCAGGGACACTTTTGCCGGCTGATCGGGAAATGTTCGATTCGCGCACCCGAAGTAGGCAAAATTTCGGTTTCGCCGCGAATCGAATATTTCCTGAAATTCGACTCGAATTCCGGTTCGCCTGGTTCGATTCGCTCATCTCTATTGATAATGAATGAGAGGGGGAGATGGAATGTGTACTAAGGAGGCACATCTGTATAGCTGTAAAGTCAAGGGTACAATCATGCCAAGATGTTTCAATTGAGGGGAGAGGGCTAAGGGTTGCTGGGTAAGTGTTGTATGAGAGAGGATGTAAAGGGGGGGGTTAGATAATGGGCCTACAATGGGTTATCGGCAAAAAGTAGGGGACAAAGTGAGGATTGTGATGTTGGGGTCGGAGTAGGGAGGTGCAGTCACCTTGAGCATGCAGTTGGAAGAGACCATCTTTGCATTCATTTTGCTCTTTTGTTTCACTGTTTTTGTTTTTTTTTGTTTTTTTTAAAGAACGGGTCAGTGGCCTCTGTTGTTGGTCAGAAAATGCTAGATGCCTGGCTGTTACAGTGACCACCTTTTTGTTGTGGTCAGTACTACCTGGAACAACTTTGCAAACCACAAAAGTTTAGGATAAATTGGTATTGCTGTTATGCAAACTTTGGGATCAGTGATTTTAAAATGATTCCTAGCTGGTCTCAGCATTGGCAATCAATGCATTCCTGTCATGTCAGGAAAGCAGGCACACTCAACATAAAAGGTAACAATTCTGCACTGAATTTAGAAGCAGCACAGCAGCATTGTCACCCTATCACACTAATAAATATTTAATATTTTGCAGCTTACAACTCTTGTGATGTGGTGGCTGCATTTTTTTTTTTCCCAAGGGCTTTTTTTCCTTTTCACATGATGATCCTGCCACTAGCACCTCCTGTCCTATAGGGTGACAACGCTCACTCATCATACTGTAACTAGAGAGAAGCAGCTTTTTTTTTTTTTTTTTCTCCTTTTTTTTCCCCTAAGGCAGGAAGTGTCGGTGCTTCAGACCATTTCCCCCAGTCCTCCTCTCCATACATGGGGGGGGAAGGGGGAAGTATTCTGTAGTCCATTCAGGTGAGATAATTTGGGCGCATAATACTGCAAGGTACACAGAAGAGAAGTCGCTTTCTGACAGGATCAACTGACTTTTTTTTTTTTTTTTTTAATCGATCAAATATAAAAACGCTTTTAATTATGTATATTTAGCAGACCAAACAGGAAAACATAAGAGAAGTCCAAAGATACTGGCTATACAGCCATTTGCATTTGAATACAAATTGACCATTGAGTGTGTACCACTTTAAGCCTAGGTTCAAAGTATTGCATGCTTGATTGAATGGGCTGCTGTACCCGCAAGAAACGTGGGGAAAAGTCCCCGACCCTTTTTTTTTTTTTTTTTAATTTCTTTTTTTAGCGCACTTGTTTTCCAATGCTTGGGGGGGGGGGTGTGTGCTGTTAAGAATAGCACCTGCACGTTACTGTTAAAGAGCAGCACATCTTGCCTGCAGTTCAGGAACTTGCTCAATTACGCATGCGTTTCCAACCCACATATATGTGAACCTACTCCTATACTGGTGCAGTGCTGCCACTCAGTACCAAAGGGGAGAATATATGAATTTTTCTGAATTCTTGTAATAAATCTGTTTGTTCGCTCCTACAGACGTTTCTTACCCTTTCCCTACAAGACATGGCCAGTCGAGTTCAGTTATCTGGTGCTCAGGAGGCTGAAAAATATGTTCTGTATATGGTAAGATTTTGTCCATTTTTGGGGTTTTTAAGTGGCGATTGTGTGTGATTTTTATTTATAGGTAACATTTGTGGTTTTATGTTCCCCATTTAACCTGGAAACCGTAATCCTATCTTGTCAATGCACGCAGTGGTTAGAATGGAAGTGGGGTTTCACATTTATTTATGCAACACTAATGAATTGCATTTTATCATTTTACAATGCCTTGAAAACCTATTCATACCTCCTTGAAATTTTCAACATTTCGTCATGTTACAACCAAAAACGGAAGTGTTTTTTATTGGGATTTTATGTGATAGACCAACACAAAGTGGCACATAATTGTGAAGTGGAAGGAAAATGAGAAATCATTTTCAACATTTTCTACAAATATCTGAAAAGTGTGGCTTGCATTTGTATTCAGCCTCCTTTACTCTGATACCCCTAACTAAAATCTAGTGGAACAAATTGCCTTCAGAAATCACTTAATTAGTAAATAGAGTCCCCCTGTGTGTCATGTAATCTCAGTATAAATACAGCTGTTCTGTGAAGCCTCCAGAGGTTTGTAAGAGAATATTAGTGAACAAACAGCATCATAAAGGCCAAGGAACACACCAGACAGGTCAGGGGTGAAGTTTAAAGCAGGGTTTATTAAAAAAAAAAAAAAAAAAAAAAAAATCGCAAGCTTTGAACATCTCACGAAGCACTGCTCAATCCATCATCTGAAAATGGGAAGAGTACGGCACAACTGCCAACCTACCAATACATAGCCGTCCACCTAAACTGACAGGCCGGGCAAGGAGAGCATTAATGGTAACTCTGGAGGAGCTGCAGAGATCCACAGCTCAGGGGGGAATCTGTCCACAGGACAACTATTAGTCGTCGCTCCACAAATCTGGCCTTTATGGAAGAGTGACAAGTAGAAAGCCATTGTTGAAAGAAAGCCATAAGAAGTCCTGTTTGCAGTTTGTGAGAAGCCATGTGGGGGACACAGCAAACATGTGGAAGAAGGGGCTCTGGTCAGACGAGACCAAAATGGGACTTTTTGGCCTAAAAGCAAAACACTATGTGTGGGGGAAATCTAACAGTGCACATCACCCTGAACACACTATCCCCACCGTGAAACATGGTGGTGGCAGCATCATGTGGTGGGGATGCTTTTCTTCAGCAGGGACAGGGAAGCTGGTCAGAGTTGATGGGAAGATGGATGGAGCCAAATACAGGGCAATCTTAGAAGAAAACCTGTTAGTCTGCAGAAGACTTGAGACCGAGGCGGAGGTTCCCCTTCCAGCAGGACAACGACCCGAAACATCCAGCCAGAGCTACAATGGAATGGTTCCGATCAAAGCATCTTCATGTGTTAGAATGGCCCAGTCACAGTCCAGACCTAAATCCAATGGAGAATCTGTGGCAAGACTTCAAAATTGCTGATCACAGATGCTCTCCATCCAATCTGACAGCTCGAACTATTTTGCACAAAAGAATGGGCAGAAATGTCCCTCTCTAGATGTGCAATTATGTGCCACTTGTGTTGGTCTATCACATAAAATCCCAGTAAACGACATTTACATTTTTGGTTGTAACATGACATAATATGGAAAATTCCAAGGGGTATGAATACTTTTTCAAGGCACTGTATGCATTTGTTTGCTTGTTAGTTGTGGGGACTGTTTTCCTGTGTCGGTGCTCCCAGAGCCTAATGAAAAAACTGTATCAATGCTTATTGACTATTTGGTTTGTTCAGCTTTGAATTTAAATGGAGCTAGCCCTAAAGTCTCCTCCCCCTTCCTGATTAATGTAAGAAAGATGTATATACTTACTACTTTCAGCCCGCTCCAGTCCTTGTCATGTGATCCCCTGTGCTCTCTAGCAGTGGCTGCAGGGTAGAGGAAAAAGTGTTTGACAATGGCTGCTAGAGCCTGGAGTGATGACATCACCTGTGGACTCCTGTGGCCCATCTGTTGCCGGCAGTCCCTCCTCTCCCCTGCAGCTGTTGTTGGCTGACACAGGGGAGCTGGATCACATGACCAGACCAGGCTAGTCGGAGAAAGGGAGTATTTTTAAGGCTTAGGTTTAAGCTGGAATTCCACATTAAGTGTTGGAGTTCAAAAGAGAATGACTTCAGTGGTGTTTTGATGTAAAGTGTCTTCCCATTTCAGATAGAAGATGGAGAAATCTTTGCAAGTATTAATCAGAAGGATGGTATGGTGTGCTTTCACGATAATCCAGAGAAATACAACAATCCAGCTATGCTTCATAATATTGATCAGGAGGTAAGCCAGAAATCTTGCAGGGCCCAATGTGGAGAGTGGAGTGCAAGACAGTCCCCAGGGGTCTTGAGATCCTTGATGTCTTACAAATGCATGCTGGTATGAAATTGCTTAACACTTTTTTTTTTAAAACATCTTTTTTTGCTTTACTGGTCCCCTATGTTATAGCAATGAAGTAAAGTTTTGGGGGAATAAAGTTTAAACATTTCTAAATTAATACACAATTAAACGCGCACCACACACAAGCACACGGTAAACAATGGTTCTACATAGGTAGCACTTCCCTTTTACTGGTTATCCGTGTAGATTTAAAGTGTTCCTAAACCCCGGACCCTGCATTCACTATATCTGGTCTCCCCAGACCCCGCATTTACTATATCTGGTCTCCCCAGACCCCGCATTCACTATATCTTGTCTGCCCGGACCCCGCATTTGCTATATCCGGTCTCCCCGGACCCCGCATTTGCTATATCCGGTCTCCCCGGACCCCGCATTTGCTATATCCGGTCTCCCCGGACCCCGCATTTGCTATATCCGGTCTCCCCGGACCCCGCATTTGCTATATCCGGTCTCCCCGGACCCCGCATTTGCTATATCCGGTCTCCCCGGACCCCGCATTTGCTATATCCGGTCTCCCCGGACCCCGCAAAGGAGATATTTAGGGGACAATGGAGAAAGGGGAAGGTCAGAGAATACAGGATCAAATTTCCGTTTTACACAATGTGGAACATGAACCACAGTGAGTGTAACAAGCATGCTTTTTGGCATATACAGACCAATTTTACTGTTGTGGGTTAGTAAAATTGTAATTTTGAATGATGGCTTTAGAATTATTTCTCTCATTCTGACATTTATGTTGATACTTCACGTGTGGCACAAAAGCTGTTCACATGTGCGGAGTGATTAGGATGCTTTTTTTTTTTTTAAACTTTTTACTTTTAACTTTGTGATAACTTTAGACAGATGACAGGTACTCTTTTATGGAGACATCAAGGGTTTGTTAGACTTAAAATACAGCTAAACAAGAACAGATTGTGCTTTATTAGCTGCTTCCCTGGCTGTAGGGAGTGGGGGGGGGGCTTTCAGCCATAAAGCAAAAGTGATCTGAGCAGCTCTACAGCCACCCTATCATTACAGGTGTAGCTGTGTTGTATCACTTGTGGTTTACATACCACCACCAATTTTGTGCTTTGCCCTCTGTATATCCCAAGTAGTATGTCGCAAAATGACACCAACGCCATCTGTATCTTGTATTGTACATTAAAGGCACGCGCAATGTCATTGTTTGGTTTATTCTCTCACCAGATGCTTCGATGTATAGACCTTGATGACCGGTTAAAGGCAATGGATCAGGAGATCACAGTGAACCCTCAGTTTGTTCAGAAGGTAAGATAATTCATACACAAAGTTCACCTGCAAGTGTTTTCTATATCCACATCATAGGTCATCAAGGTCATTGATACAGTGATCACAGGAACAGTAGTAAGCAAGATGTCACTTCCTTTCATCATTGCTTACTACGCGTGAAATCTGCGAATGATCATCGAGGTCACATGGTACAAGGCTATACCCATCAGCCTTGTTCCATGTGACAAGCTGTGATCAATCACAGCTCTCACAGTATTTCTCAAAGAGAGGAGAAATGATTGCTTTTTAGCCTTTATGGGTGTAAAAGCAATCCATGTAAAAAAAGAAAAAAAAAAATCATCTTCACCCTCCACAAGTAGTACAGTCACTATGGTGACACTGTACTGCTAGGGTGACGGTATGTAAAAAAAAAAAACATAAATAATATAAAAAAATAAAATAGAAATGTAGAGAGAAATTTTGAAAATAATAATTTTTGGTTATAATTTTTTTTTTTTTTTTTTACTAAAAAGACAGCTTACATTTTGGCCAAGGTTTATGAAAGATTATTTATTTGCAACATTTTATAAGAAAAACACTTTGAAAAAATAAATGTTTGGAATTTTTCCTTTTTATATAGCAAAATAAAAATCCCAGTGGTGAATAAATACCCCCAAAATAAAGCTTTCTCTCATAAAAATTCATATGGGTACAGTGTTGCATGACCGCGCAATTGTCATTCAAAGTGTGATAGCGCTGAAAGCTGAAAATTGGCCTGGACAGGAAGGGGGTGAAAGTGTCCAGACTGGAAGTGGTTAACCAATTTTTTTAAAATTGGTGGCAGGGTCTCTAAAATGGAACGACCGGTATTATTACTTACGTTTCCAATAATCCCTTTCCGGCGCTGGCATCTTCTCCTGTGGGCCGGTTTTTGGACATCTTCATTGGTGGGTGAAGCAGTTATGAAGGCCATACATGGTTCGAATTACAAACAATTTTTCTTCCGCAAATCCTAACATAGTTCTGTAATCCAATGGTGCCACCAATGATTTCAAAAATCGGTCGTTTTGAACACATTTTTCAGCATGCCCGATAAACAAAATGGGGAGGAAACACGAAAATGGGCCAATGCCATTGCCCCACTAACAGCGAAAATCGGCTGATTATTCTTAGGTCTGATTTTTTCGTGCAAAAATCGTTTGAAATTTGAACCATGTGTGGCCTGCATTAGTCATCCTGGCACACAGGAAGCTGGCCAGCTGCTGTATGCAGGGATCGCTGTGTGCAGGTAGGTAGGTGTACAATTGCAAGAAAAAGTATGTGAACCCCTTGGGATTATGTGGAGTTTTGCAGGAATTGGGCATAAAATGTGCTCTGAACGTCATCTAAATCACAACAATAGAAGAACACAGTCTGCTGAACATAATACTACACAAACATTAGATGTTGCCATGGTTTAATTGCACATAACATGTAAACATTCACAGTGCAGGGAGGAAAAAGTATGTGAACCTTTGGACTTAATAACTGGTTGACCCTCCTTTGGCAGCAATAACCTCAACCAAACGTTTCCTGTAGTTGCAGATCAGACCTGCACAACGATCTGGAGTCATTTTGGACCACTCCTCTTCACAAAACTGTTTCAGTGTAGCAATATTCTTGGGATGTCTGGTGTGAATCGCTCTCTTAAGGTCATGCCACAGCATTTCAATCGGGTTGAGGTCAGGACTCTGACTGGGCCACTCCAGAAGGCGTATTCTGTGCTGTTGCAGCCATTGTTTTGTTGAATTACTTGTATGCTTTGGGTCATTGTCCTGTTGCATCACCCATCCTCTGCGGAGCTTCAGTTGGCGGACAGATGGTTGTACGTTTTCCTGCAAAATGTCTTGATAAACTCTGGAATTCATTTTCCCATCAATGACAACAATCCGTCCAGGCCCTGAGGCAGCAAAGCAGCCCCAAACCATGATGCTCCCTCCGCCATGTTTCACAGTGGGGATGAGGTTTTGATGTTGGTGTGCTGTGCCTTTTTTTCTCCACACATAGTGTTGTGTGTTCTTTCCCAACAACTCAATCTTGGTTTCATCTGTCCACAGTATATTTTGCCAGTAGTGCTGTGGAACATCCAGGTGCTCTTTTGCAAACTTCAAACGTGTTGCAATATTCTTTTTGGACAGCAATGGCTTCCTCCGTGGTGTCCTCCCATGTACTCCATTCTTGTTTAATGTTTTCTTATTGTAGATGTGTCAACAAAAATGTTAGCATGTGCCAGAGATTTCTGTAGGTCTTTAGCTGACACTCTGGGATTCTTCTTTACCTCATGCAGCATTCTGCGCTGTGCTCTTGCAGTCATTTTTTACAGGACGACCGGGCCTAGGGAGAGTAGCAACAGTGCTAAACTTTCTCCATTTGTAGACAGTCTGTCTTACCGTGGACACATGAACATCAAAGCTTTTGGAGATACTTTTGTAACCCTTTCCAGCTTCATGCAAATCAACAATTCTTGATGGTAGGTCTTCTGAGAGCTCTTTTCTGCGAGGCATGGTTCACATCAGACAGTGCTTCTTGAAGCCAGTAAACCCAAAACAGGTGTGTGTTTTTTAAGGGCAGGACAGCTGTTAGCAACACATCCAATATCATCACACTGATTGAAGTCAAGGTTGGCTCACTCCTGGCTCCAATTAGCTCTGGGAGAAGTCATTAAGCTAGGGCCTCACATACTTTTTCCTCCCTGCACTGTGAATGTTTACGTTATGTGCAATTAAACCATGGCAACATCTAATGTTTGTGTAGTATTATGTTCAGCAGACTGTGTTCTTCTATTGTTGTGACTTAGATGACGTTTAGAGCACATTTTATGCCCAATTCATGCAAAACTCCACGTAATCCTAAGGGGTTCACATATTTTTTCTTGCAACTGTAGTTTATTGCAGAGACATTGCAAGTCTCTTCTCCAAAAAAAAAAAAAAAAAAAAAAGCTTGGCCGCTCACCGTGTGCAACAGCGCGGGACTTTTAGTTCACCTTTAAATGATACTTAATGTCATGGGGAGCGTATTTATATAAAGCGGGTTGTTCTGTGTTGCAGAGTATGGGCTCACAAGACGACGACTCAGGAAGCAAGCCATCCAGTTACTCTTGAAGGGAAGATTTTCTTGCACCTCCCAAACTCCAGAATGTGGATTGTCAGCAATGCAAAACTTTTCTCAATTCAGCCTAAAACATGTCTTCGCAAAGCAATTGGGAGAAACTCCATTTCTGCCTGGACATTAAAATAAACCTGGAAATCCAATATTTATGAAGTTTTTCTCTGTCCTGTATGCGTTACCAGTTATACTCCGAGGAACGGAATACAACCTATACAAATAAAGTCTGTTGTGAATTTGTCTCTGGAAAGACCCTCATTTATATCTGAAGTACTAATGGGCCTATAGGTGTAAAGCAGCCGCTGTACTATTGGAGGGGGAGCTGCCATTGTGATTATGGAGATTTTTATTATTTGTCCTGGTTTTATTTATTTATTTCAGGTACTTGTATATCGCCATCAATTTACGCAGCGCTTTACATATATATTGTACATTCACATCAGTCCCTAACCCTCAAGGGGCGTACAAGCTAAGGTTTTAGCACTCGTTTTCCCCTAGGATACCCATAAAAGGCACTCTTCCCTCACCCCCCCCCCCTTCAGTGCTCTGGTTTGTGGGTTCTCATGGTGCAGTACTGTTGGTCCTGCACTTTATGCAATAAAATATGAGCTAGTAGCGCCAAAGAGAAGAGGCTTCAGAGGACTGGTTGCAGTGGGGAGATCCGTAATGCCCACTGGAGCATGACCGCTGTATCATCTGTTCTTATCCTGAGCAGTCTCCTAATTTTTGAAGTGACAGCAGAGCTGTGATGGTTCGCACTGAGAGCCACACTGGTCTGCAGCACTGAATGGTCATTGTGACTACCCAGTCATCCTCAGCATTCAATTATGAATTGTTAGATTGTAAGCTCCCAGGATCAGGGCCCTCCTATCCCTCTTGTATTGAACTGTATTGTCTCCTGTTATATTGTAAAGCGCTGAGCAAACTGTTGGCGCCATAATTCCTGTATAATAATAATTTTTGAATTGCTATAGCCGCTTTAATTCATTATCGATTAAAGGAAAGGTATTGCTTTATAAAAAAAAAAATACTTGTCTCCATGCTGCAGCAGCCATGATTGGTGCAAGCTCCTGCAGACCATTCCTCCATCCCCAGGTCCATGTGTTTTTATTTGGCATCAAGTGATACTCCATTATTATATTATTATACAGGATTTATATGGCACCAACAGTTTGCTCAGCGCTTTACAATATAACGGGAGACAATACAGTTCAATACAAGATGGTTAGGAGGGCCCTGATTCTAGGAGCTTACAATCTAGGAGGGAGGGGCTAGTGGAACAAAAGGTAATAACTGTGGGGGATGGACTGGTACGACGAGTAGAAGATTCCATTATTGGCTGAATACAGGATAGGCTTCCCTGAAGAGATAGGTTGTCAGAGATCGCCTAAAAGTGAGCAGAGTAGGCGATAGTCTGATAAATTGGGGTAGAGATTTCCAGAGGATGGGGGAGGCTCTGGAGAAGTCCTGGAGACGAGTATGGGAGGCGGGGGAACAAGGGAGCTAGAGAGCAGGAGGTCGTGGGAGGAGCGGAGAGGACGGTTTGGGTGATATTTGGATTCATCATCATGGTCGGTAGACAGAGCTGGGCAGCATACTTATTTCCTGTGACAATATCCAACCATGGTGTCTCAAAAACGTGCAAAAATAATTACTGGTGGTTCCACCATTTACCCACCTCCGAGCACCGTCCCTTGGTTCCATCATTTACCCACCTCCGAGCACCGTCCCTTGGTCCCACCTCCGCGCACTATCCCTTGGTTCCATCTCCTACCCACCTCCGAACACCGTCCCTTGGTTCCATCTCCTACCCACCTCCGAACACCGTCCCTTGGTTCCATCTCCTACCCACCTCCGAACACCGTCCCTTGGTTCCATCTCCTACCCACCTCCGAACACCGTCCCTTGGTTCCATCTCCTACCCACCTCCGAACACCGTCCCTTGGTTCCATCTCCTACCCACCTCCGAACACCGTCCCTTGGTTCCATCTCCTACCCACCTCCGAACACGTCCCTTGGTTCCATCTCCTACCCACCTCCGAACACGTCCCTTGGTTCCATCTCCTACCCACCTCCGAACACGTCCCTTGGTTCCATCTCCTACCCACCTCCGAACACGTCCCTTGGTTCCATCTCCTACCCACCTCCGAGCACCGTCCCTTGGTTCCATCATTTACCCACCTCCGCGCACCGTCCCTTGGTCCCACCTCCGCGCACCGTCCCTTGGTTCCATCTCCTACCCACCTCCGAACACCGTCCCTTGGTTCCATCTCCTACCCACCTCCGAACACCGTCCCTTGGTTCCATCTCCTACCCACCTCCGAACACCGTCCCTTGGTTCCATCTCCTACCCACCTCCGAACACCGTCCCTTGGTTCCATCTCCTACCCACCTCCGAACACCGTCCCTTGGTTCCATCTCCTACCCACCTCCGAACACCGTCCCTTGGTTCCATCTCCTACCCACCTCCGAACACGTCCCTTGGTTCCATCTCCTACCCACCTCCGAACACGTCCCTTGGTTCCATCTCCTACCCACCTCCGAACACGTCCCTTGGTTCCATCTCCTACCCACCTCCGAACACGTCCCTTGGTTCCATCTCCTACCCACCTCCGAGCACCGTCCCTTGGTCCCACCTCCGCGCACCGTCCCTTGGTTCCATCTCCTACCCACCTCCGAACACCGTCGCTTGGTTCCATCTCCTACCCACCTCCGAACACCGTCCCTTGGTTCCATCTCCTACCCACCTCCGTACACCGTCCCTTGGTTCCATCTCCTACCCACCTTCCAGCACCGTCCCTTGGTTCCATCTCCTACCCACCTTCCAGCACCGTCCCTTGGTTCCACCTCCGAACACCGTCCCTTGGTTCCACCTCCGAACACCGTCCCTTGGTTCCACCTCCGAACACCGTCCCTTGGTTCCACCTCCGAACACCGTCCCTTGGTTCCACCTCCGAACACCGTCCCTTGGTTCCACCTCCGAACACCGTCCCTTGGTTCCACCTCCGAACACCGTCCCTTGGTTCCACCTCCGAACACCGTCCCTTGGTTCCACCTCCGAACACCGTCCCTTGGTTCCACCTCCGAACACCGTCCCTTGGTTCCACCTCCGAACACCGTCCCTTGGTTCCACCTCCGAACACCGTCCCTTGGTTCCACCTCCGAACACCGTCCCTTGGTTCCACCTCCGAACACCGTCCCTTGGTTCCACCCCCTACCCACCTTCCAGCACCACTTCTTTTAAAGAACACAGAGCCAAGTATCATTTTGTGGTGCCAAGTAATTTGCATGGAATTTGTTACTGATAACAAGAAAAGCAGAAAAATAGAACCCCTGCAGCCAGCAACCACAGACCCCCCCCCCCCCCCCCCAGCAAGAAAAGATCTATCAGCAACAATAAACCCCCACAACAAAAAACACCCCGTCAACAATAGACCCCCCCCCGCAGGCAGCATCAATAGATTGTCCAGAAGACAGCAACAAAGACCCCTCCCTCCAACAGTATACCCCTTCCAGCAACCAGGGACCCCTCAGCAACAACAGATCCCCAAAAGCAACAATAGACCTCCCCAGCAACAATAGACCACCACACAAAAATAGACCCCTACCACTGACAATAGATCCCCCACCAACAATAGATTCCTCACCAGCAACAATAGACCACCACACAAAAATATATCCCTACCAGTGACAATAGATCCCCTACCAGTAACCATAGATCCCCCACCGGCAACAATAGACCACCACACAAAAATAGATCCCTACCAGTGACAATAGATTCCCCCGTAGCCAGCATCAATAGACCTTCCAGCACACCTCAGCACCCCTTGCTCTTACATACATCCAATGCTGGACGTGTTGGAACTGTTAACGAATATACTGTACTTAAATGTGTTCATTTTGACCAGCATCTCAGTGCTGCAAATATAAATCAGTATATTTCCAATCCCATACCCCGTAAATTAAGTGTGCAAAACCAAATGCAGTGAAGCAGTCTGCGCTCTGTGTATAAAGCACTCCAAAAGTCTTTGTTGAGGAATTCCTTGAACAATGAATACCCAAGGTGACGTGGAATCAATTATTTTTGCAAGGGTTTAACGGACACCATGGTTGGATTTTAATGGTTCCCTTTGGAAGGTTTCACAGACGGGTGTTAGCAGCAGCTCAGAGTGATTTGTTCTGATTTTGTGAAGATTACTGGCAGCTCATGAGTCTTTTATTATTTCCTTTGATGCACAGCGCCATCTATTGGTCGTATTGTGGTATTTTCACCACTTTGTTTTTCACAATGAATAACATTCATTCTGCAGATAATAATAACCTGAAAACATTCGATTTCTCCCTACTGGCACACAAAATGGACATCCTCATCCATGGATGAACAACTATGCAAATGTATCGAGCTCCCCAGATATCTAATTTTCTGCTTTTCACAAAAGGCTTCTTGTCACTGAGGTTTCAGGAATCCCCTGCAAAAGAGTTATAGTGCATGTAAACCCTCACCTTGTAAAACATCCCATTCAGTTATAGAAATGACTACATAGTTACATAGTTAGTCTGGCTGAAAAAAGACAAAAGTCCATCCAGTTCAACCATAAATAAAAAAGTTATAATCCTACACCCACAGTTGATCCAGAGGAAGGCAAAAAACCCAGTAAAGCACGATCCAATTTGCTCCTGCAGAGGAAAAAAATCCTTCCTGATCCCACGAGAGTCCCCCAATGTTCTTTTTGTGAATTGGTGCCCAAAACTGAACTGCATATTCCAGATGAGGTCTTACTAATGATTTGTACCGGGAGGGAGGGGGGAGGGGGATGATATTTCTCTCTCTCTGGAGTCTATACCTCTTTAATACAAGAGAGGATTTTAGAAACCGCAGCTTGGCATTGCTGCCATTATTAAGCTTGTGACTAGATGAATAGTAATGAAAAGTAAAACATTTTTGTATAAATATGAAAACATTATAAATACCTTTTTCCCCCTTTTTTTTATAAGT